CTGGGGGCGGGGCCTGGCCCCGGCTGCCCCCCTCACTGGGGACCCTGCCTCCCCTTCCAAAGACTGGGGGGAGGGGGCTGTCCCCCTGTACCCACCAGGCTGCCCCCCTGCTAAGAGCCTTTTCCCCCTAAGAGAGCCCTGCCCCCAATAAACAGGCTGGGGGGGCCAGCTCCTTCCCCCAGAAATAGGGGGATCCCTTCGAGCCTGGGGGAGCTGTCTCAGCTGGACTCACCCCTGCTTTTGACCCCCCCAGAAACAGAGGAACCCCCCCCAGTCTGGGGAGGTGGGGGTAGGCTGCTGTGCCTCTCCCCAGTCTTTTGGGGGTGGAGGATGAAAAAGAGGAGGGGGAGGCATGCCCCAGGGAACCCTGCAGAGGAGCTTTTCCTTGGGTGGGGAGAGGAGCAACCTGAGATTCCAGTGGGGGGGGGTCATCTGATTTGCAGAAATCAGGGTGTGTATCGCTAATCCCCCCCTCCCCACTGTGTGTAGGGGAGGTCTGGGGGGTTGGGATCAGGGTAGTCTGGGGGCAGAGGAGTCTGGCAAAGTGGGGGGATCTTGGGGGTCTGGGCTGGGGGTCAGAGGGCACCGCAAGTGAAGGCGTCTTGGAGGTCTGGGCCAGGGGGGTCCTGGAGTCTGGGAAAGGGGGGTAGGTGGGTCTGGGTCAGGGGGACCTGGGGGTAGGAGAGTCTGAGACAGAGGGATCTAGGGGTACCTGGGGCAGGGGGGTCTGGAGCAGAGGGCCTGGCCCTGTTACTATCTGCTCTGGCTGCGACTGGGTTGGTTAGGGTCTCACGACTGCCCCCCCCACCCCATGAGGCTGGAGGAGCAACAGCCATGGAAGTGTGAGCAGCTCCCTGGTGTTTTCTGCAAGTGGCTTATTTCGGTTTCACTTTCAGCATGGGCTGCCCTGGGGGCTGCAGGGCTGATTCCCCTCTGGGGGGATGCCTGGGGGTGGAGAAGCTGAGCTGGTGGCTGTGCTGGGAGTGGGGCCAGGGAGCTATCTGCCTCATCCCAGACCAGAGGGCCAGAGCCCTGCCCTTCCCCAGGGCAGCAGGGACCTGGGAGACATGGGGAGGGGGGCACAACAGTGGTGGGAGGACCCCCAAAGAGGGAAACTGAGGCATGGGTGGGGGAAGGGGGGAGCACAGCCAGGGCTGGGGTCAGAGCTGGGGTCTCCAGTCACATCTCTGTGGGGGAGGAGCCTAGAGATTCCTCAGAGTCCCCCCGGGTGCTACCATAAAGCACCTAATGATGTGCAGCACCAAGCACAGCAGGGATCTGATTTCAGGACTGGGGTCCCTGATTGCTACCATTATGCACTAATGTGCAACTCCAAACACAGTGGAGTCCTCTTAGGTGCTACTCTAATCTACCTGATAAGGTGTAGCTCCAAGCACAGTGGGGTCCCCACATAATGCACCTTGTAATACAGCTCTGAGTGCAAGGGGAGACAGGTTCTCCCTGAGTGTTACCATAATATACCTAATAATAGGGAGCATGGAGTTTAGCAGGGGCCTGCCTGACATAGACCTGGGACCCCAGTATGCTACCATAATACACCTAATAGTATACAGCACACTGGGACCCAAGCTTATTGCTGGAGCTCCCCCCACCCCCTGAAGTGTTACCATAATGCATCTAATAATAACGTATAGCACTGAGTGCAGTGGTGGGTAGTGGGAGGAGGGAAGGATTTGTCCTGCCATAGGCAGTAGAAGGATTACAGGAGCAGCCAGAGCCCCACCTGGGACCCAGGGTCCCACAGCAGATCCACGCCTGCCACATGGTAGCATCCCCTTAGAAAGAGGGGAAACTGAGGCATGACAAGGGTAAGGGACCTAGCTGAAGCCTGGTGGCTAGTTGGTGGCAGGGTTGGACGTGGAACCGAGGTGTACAGGGTGCTAAGTAGAGGCCGTGCTGCTTTCTCTGAGCAGTGGGGGTTGGGGGAGGGGTCTGGGCCTGGGCCCGGTTGGTCTGGTTGGTTAGTGGTTCAGGTGCTGCTCCCGCCCCCCGCCCCCATGGTGTCTCACTCCTTAAGATATTGCCAGCTTGGGGGGGGCTCTCCCTCCTTCTCAGCCTCCCCAGCACACAACTAGGTCACTGCAGTTGGCTGCTCTGTGCCTCCCTCCCTGCCTCCCTCCTGTTTCTCCTGGCATGCCCCCCTTCCCCGCCCCAGCCCGGGTTTCTCCCCCTCCCTGCCTCGGTTTCACCATCCTGCTGGGCCCCTGGGGCTTTGCCCCATGGTAGATGCAGCCTTAGACCCCATTAGTATGTTGTGTGTGCTGGAGAGGAGGGGTGGGGGAGAAGCCGCTAGGAGCTCAGGATTGGGTCCAGCCTGATGGTAGGCACAAGGCAGGGCAGGCCTGCAGCTCGGGCATGTGTAGGGCTGTATGGCCTGGGCTGAGGCTTCTCTGTTTGTCTCTCCCCCTCCTCCCCCACGGCTGTATCTGTTTTCCCTGCCCATCCATCTGTCTGTTCGTCCCTCCATCATCGTGCTTACCCTGCCTTTCTCCCTGCCTGTTCACCCATCTGGCCACACCTCTGCCCCTTCCCGTCCCGTCCCCTCCCCCCCGCCCCCAACTGTCGTGTCTAACCACCCTGCCTGTCTGTCTGTCTGTCCAACCACCCACCTATCATTATGCCTACCCAACTCTCTGTCTGTCCATCCATCTTGTCCATCCATCCATCTGTCCACCTACCCAACTGTCTGTCTCTTCATCTGTATGTTCATCCATACCACGTCCACCTGGCTGTCCATCTGCCCTTCCGCCATCATGCTGACCCAACTTTCTGTCTGTCCATCTGTCCGTCCACCCATCATCATGCGTACCCAACTGTCCCTCCATCCCCTCACCCACCAACATGCCTACCCAACTGTCTGTTTGTCTGCCTATTCCTCCATCTGTCCATCTGTCTGTCTATTCACCCATTGTCATGTCTGTCCATCTGCCCATCCACCCACCTACCCACTGTCATGCCTACATGACTCACTGTCCATCTGGCCATCTTTCTGTCCATCTATCCATCTACCATCACACCTGCATGACTGTCCATCTGTCCATCCACCCACCCCGGTCTGGCATCACGCCTACACAACTATCCATCCATCCATCCACCCCCTTCTCCCCACACTGTCCTGCCCACCCTGTTGCCCTGCCCACCCCCTCATCTGTGCTTCCAGCTGCTGCCCCACCACCACTACCCCCTGACCCCTGCCCAGGCCCCCGGCACCGACGATGGCCCAGACGCTGCAGATGGAGATCCCCAACTTCGGGAACAGCATCCTGGAGTGCCTGAATGAGCAGCGCCTGCAGGGCCTTTACTGCGATGTGTCAGTGGTGGTGAAAGGCCATGCCTTCAAGGCTCACCGCGCTGTCCTGGCTGCCAGCAGCTCCTACTTCCGGGACCTTTTCAACAGCAGCAAGAGTGCCGTAGTGGAGCTGCCAGCCGCCGTCCAGCCCCAGTCCTTCCAGCAGATCCTCAGCTTCTGCTACACAGGCCGCCTCAGCATGAATGTGGGTGACCAGTTCCTGCTCATGTACACAGCTGGCTTCCTCCAGATCCAGGAGATCATGGAGAAGGGGACTGAGTTCTTCCTCAAGGTCAGCTCACCCAGCTGCGACTCCCAGGGCTTGCACCCTGAAGAGGCGCCCTCCTCAGAGCCCCAGAGCCCCGTGGCCCAGAATTCGGCCTGGCCTTCCTGCAGCACCCCCCTGCCCCTGGTATCCCGGGTCAAGACGGAGCAGCAGGATTCCGACTCGGTGCAGTGCACCTTCGTGGTTAAGCGGCTGTGGGACAGCAGCCAGAAGGAGGGCAGCGGCGGCGGTGGAGGAGGAGGAGGAGGGGGCAATGGCAGTCGCAAAATGGCCAAGTTCTCAGCACCGGACACGGGCAGCGGGCGCCAGCCCCCAGCTCAGGCTCAGCCCCAGCCTCAGCCCCAGGCTCCAGCTCCGGGGGCTCCCGTGGGTGCTGGGCCCAGCGCAGCGGCTGACCAGACCAGCCCCGGCACATCAAGCGCCTACACGAGCGACAGCCCTGGCTCCTTCCACAATGAGGAGGATGAGGAGGAGGATGGTGCCGAGGAAGGCTCTGATGAGCAGTACCGCCAAATCTGCAATATGTACACCATGTACAGCATGATGAACGTGGGCCAGGCGGGTGAGAGCTCCCTTCTGCCTCCCTGGGGGTGGGTTGAAGGGGTCGGTTGCCCCTGGTGGAGTGGCTTGGGCACTGGGCAGGGCCTTTGATGTCCAATGCAGCCCTGGCTTGGAGGTGGGGGGAGTGGCCCTTTGGCCTTGGGGTGTACCTTGGGGACTGGGAGGGGTCTTTGTTGTCCAATGGAGCCTTAGCTTGCAGGTGGGAGGAGTCTTCGCTGTGGGAGGGGCTGGGGCTGTCCCTGGGGGGCGGGGCTTGGGAGATGGGTGAGGCCTTCTATTCCAAATAGACTCCTGCCTTGGGGTGGGAGGAGACTTCCCTGATGGAGGGCACTGGTGCCCTGCCCCTGAGGGTGTGACTTGGGGACTGGGCTGGGCTTTCAGTACCCATTAAAACCTTGGCTTGGGGGTAGGAGGAGTCTTCCTTGGAGGGTGTGGCCTCATTTGGGGAATGGGCTTGAGGTGAGAGCCCCTGGGGGTGGGGCTTGGGAAATGGGTGGGGCCTTCAGTGTCCAATAGAGCTGGACACTGCCTGGTGCCCTGCCTCCCTGGGGGTGTGGTTTAGGGACCTGGCAGGGGCCCACTGGGCCTTCAGTGGCCACCTTGGCGGGGGGCTTTCAATGCCCTGCCTGCTCAAAGCCCCTTGGGGGAAAGGCTTGGAGAGTGTGAGGGGCTGCATTGCTCCGCCCCATCCAGGGGCAGGGCACAGGAGGAAGAGGCAAAGCTTGGTCTCCAGCTGTTGAGGGTGGAGGGGGCCCTGCTGCTTGCCTAATTCTCTGGCTGCAGTGAGGCAAGTTTGCTGGGTCTTAGCTGCATCCTGGGGGAGGACAGATGGGCTGGGGCCCTGAGGCAGCCCCACCTCGCCCTGTCTGGGGGGAGGGGGGGGGTGAGGCAGGGGCATATCTGTGGGCTCCAGGCCCCTCTTCTTCCCTCCTGCCCCCCCCGGCTTGGGGTAGAACCCAGGTACCCAGGATCACAAGTCCTGCTGTTCTATTGCCTTGGATGCCACTTCTTCCTAGAGCTGGGGGAGAACACAGGTCTCCAGGCTCCCAGCCCCCATTCCCCTCCCACAGCTGTAGAGAACCCAGGAATCTGGGCTCCCAGCGCCCCCTGTTTACCCTGCTGTCCCTCCCCCAGCGGCGGAGAAGGTGGAGGCACTGCCTGACCAAGTGGCCTCAGAATCACGGAACCGGATGCGGGTACGGCAGGACCTGGCGTCGCTGCCGGCTGAGCTCATCAACCAGATTGGTAACCGCTGCCACCCCAAGCTCTACGATGAGGGGGACCCAGCCGAGAAGCTGGAGCTTGTCACTGGTATGTGTGCCCTGGCCCTAGTTCGAGTCTTGCCCCCTCTGCTCCCTGCCTCAGTTTCCCCATCCCTTCAGGGGTTGTCTGCACAGCACCTAGTTCAAGGTGTGGGGGTGGGGCATCATGATCATGTGGCTCCTGTTCTGGGCTGGGGAGGTGCTGGGGGCCAGGCCCTGGTTCTTATTTGTCCCGCCCCCTCAGCTCCCTGACTACGTTTCCTATTCCCACCTATCAGCGGTTGTCCACACAGTGCCTGGTCCAAGAGGCTGGGCTTGGTGGGGAACCGTCATCATGTGACTCCTGTTTGGGGCTCAGGGGCGAGGGAGGGCCTGGGAGCCAGGACTCCTGGATTTGTTTCTCAACTGGGGGTCCATATTGGTCAGGGTAGATCCCAAGGAATTGTGGGGAAGGTGTGGGGGGTAGATCCTGATTTAAGGGGGCATCTGGGCAGAGGGGGATGCTGATGGCTCTTCCCCCCCCCCCTCCCCCCATCAGGCACGAACGTCTACATTACGCGGGCGCAGCTGATGAACTGTCACGTCAGTGCTGGGACGCGGCACAAAGTGCTTCTCAGGCGACTGCTTGCATCCTTCTTCGACCGGTATATCCGAGGGGCTGGGGTGGGGAGCCCAGATGCCTGGGTTCTCTCTGGGAGGGGAGGGGAGTGGAGGCTAGAGGCCTGGAGACCTGGGTTTTGTCCTGGCTGAGGGGAGTGGGGGTTGGCAGCCAGGATTCCTGGGTTTTTTTCCTTACTGTGGTAGGAGAGCCTGCACACCTGGGTTCTCTCTTCAGCTCTAGGATCAAGCCGGGGAGCTGGAGGACAGGACTCCTTGGTTCCCCTTCCCAGCTTCCACATAGTTCATGGAGGCATCGGCTTGTTTCTCTGCTCCCCCGCTGACTGCCAAGGCCTTTCTGCCTCTGTGCCCGTTTCCCCACTCACCCACAATCAAAGGGAGGGAGCTGGGACTCCTGAGTCTTGCTCTGCCTAGCAACCATGGGAGGGCAACAGGGTGTGGGGGAGCCCTGTTTGCTTTCCCTCACTTCCCCCTTCTCCACCCTCCCCTCCTCCTGGGTAGGAACACACTGGCTAACAGCTGTGGAACTGGCATCCGCTCCTCCACCAATGACCCCAGCCGGAAGCCACTGGACAGCCGGGTCCTGCACGCTGTGAAGTGTGAGTGCTGGGTGGTGTGGGGAGGAGAGAGTATGGGATTGGGCCTGGATCAGAACCCACGTGGCACCTGCTCTCTTTGCCAAGCAGGGGACTCGGCTTTGGGGGCCTGAGGAGACCCAGATTCAGATTCTGCCCCATGGCGGGGAAAGGGATGGGGCAGCTCTGAGCTGCCAGTTCCTGGGGTCATGTCCCGCCCCCGTGGGTCCCCTGGGATGATGTGATACCCACCCCCCAAGTCACATGACACCCCTGGGGTCATGCATCTTCCTGCCATCCTTGGTCCCTGGGGTCTTGTAACCCCTGTCTTGGGATCCTGGTGGTCACATGGCCCCTGGTTCTCTTGGGTCCCTGGGGTCATGTGACCCTTCTGGGTCCCTAGGGTCACTTGATCTCCTGCCCTCCGTGGTCCCTGGGGTCATGTGACCCCTCTGTAGGGTCTCTGGTGTCATGTAACCTCTGGGTCCTTGAGGTCACATGACCCCTTCTCCGTGGGTCCCCGGGATCACTTGACCTCCTGTCCTTTTCGGACTTGGTGTCATGTGCCCCCCCTTTCCTGGGTTGCTGGGGTGGTGTGATGCCCCTGCCCTCGTTTGGAGGGGCTCGAGGGGGCTGAGAGAGCGGTGGATTCCAGCACTCACCCCCTTTCCCCCCTCCCCCCCACCCTTTTCTCAATTCCTGCAGTTTACTGCCAGAACTTCGCACCCAACTTCAAGGAAAGCGAGATGAACGCCATTGCAGCCGACATGTGCACCAATGCCCGGCGTGTCGTGCGCAAGAGCTGGATCCCCAAGCTCAAGCTGCTCATGGCCGAGGGTGACACCTACACCACCTTCATCAATGACACGGGCAAGATGGAACCCGACATTGTGGGCATGGAGCACAGCTTTGAGGGCGCTGGCCATGAGGCTGACCCTGCAGGGCCCTCTGCCGAGGGGCTGCCCTAGCCCTGCCCCTGGCCTTGGCCCTGCCCCTTTAACCTTTTCCGTTCACCCCTCCTGAATTTAATTTCTTAGGCCCCTCCCCCTTTCAGATCTTGATTTTAATTCTCCCCCTTCCCTGGTTTGCCCCATGCCGGGTGGCAGGGTGGCAAGGGGGCTGCTGTGGGGGTGTGGAAAAGTGTGCCGTCTCTTTAAAAAGTAGCATCCGGGGGCGGGGGTGGGGGGGGGTTTGTTCTGGTGCATTGTGAAGGATGGGGGGGCACCCCCTCCTCTGTCTTAGGAGTTGACTCCCCTCCTGCCCCTTCCCCTGGGTTCTAGTCTGTGTGAAGCTGGAGGAGCGGGTGCTGCCCTGTATCAGCGGCATGGAAACGCCCCCCCATGAGTCCCTTAACACTACACTCCAGGTGCCAGGCTGCCCCTGGGTGGTGGGGGGCAACATCCCAGCTACTCTGGGGTGGAGGGTAACCCACCCTGGCTGCCCCTTTGGGGGGGCAGAACTTGCCCTGCCCCCCACTTGGGCTTATACATGGGGTCTTCCCCCCACCCCCTGCAGAAGCTGTTCCCTCCCACCCATGGCTCCTCTCCCCAGCTGACACTGCTCCACTAACTCACCCCATATGGCTAGGGGAGGTGGGAGTTGGGGTGGAAGATGTCCTGATGCCTGGGGGATATCCAGTGCTGAGTGCAAAGGGCTGTGGGGGCATTAGGGGAGCATGGGCCCCCCGTGTTGGGGGGGTGGGTGGGGATATGATTTAATGGGAGGAGGAGGGCAGCAACTTGCTAGGTCTTGACTCATCTCCATGTTATGTCCTGGCCTGGGAGCCCGGACTCCTGGGTTCTCCTGGCCCTGGGAAGGGTATGTGATTCAAGCTGATGGGGGAGCCTAGGAGCCCAAGCTCCTGGGTTCTATTTCCAGCTCTGAGAGTGAGTGTGCAGCCTAGTGGTTAGTGGTGCGGGGTGGTAAAAGATCTCCCACTGCCCCCTGCCTGCTGCCTCCCCTTCTCCCTGTGCACCCTCCTCCAGGGAAGCTGTTGTGTTTTTCTTGTGGCTATTCTGATGTTGGGTGTTGTCAAGCATGGGGCAGGCAGGGTATTGTTCTTCCCCCCAGGCATGGTGTCCGTCACCCATTCCCCTCTCCCCACCCCCAGGCAAGGAGCCTGCAGATTTGGGACTGAAATGGAGAGGTAAAGGCCCAACCTCCCTGCCCCCCACAGAGCTCTGGGACTGAGAGCCTGGACTCCTGGGTTCTAGCTGCTGGATGTGAATGTGGTTCAGGCTGATTTGGGAGGGGGGGTAGCTGGGAGCCTGGACACTTGGGTTTTCCTCCCAGCCCAGGGAGAGAGCCTAGTTCAAGCTGGCAGGGGGAGCTGAGAGCCAGGACACCTGGGTTCTGTTCCCATCTCTGACAGCAAAGGCAGGAGCAGGAAAGACCTCTTGGTAGGAGGATTGGGGCGCTTTTTTTTTTTTTTTTTCAACTGTTTTGGGATTTTTAATTAATTTTTGCCTGATTCTGTTGTTTTTCTTTCAAGCAAAGATGCTGGTGAGGGAGGGGGAGCCCAGCTTTGAAGAGGGCCTGAGATGGGATCCAGCTTCCTGCTGGCCCCCATGGTGATCAGTGCAGGATGGGGGCATTGGGTTCCCCACTACTGGCTGCCCAGGAAGGTGGGGGTCAGAGGGGTTGAGACGGGTGCAGGGGAGGGGTCTGAGTTCAAATCCCACCTCCACTGGGAATTGTATCTGCCAAAGGAATTACATCTTCCGCCCCACGCTCTAATTTCCTATCCCTCCTCTGCAAAGTGGGGACAGAACCCAGGTTCCCAGCCCCCCCTGCTCTACTACCCCTGCTCCTACTCTTTACAATTCTTTAGAGTACAGCCAGCTTTCCTGGGCTTATTTAGTCTGGAGAAGAGTAGACTGAGGGGGATTTAACAGGAGCCTTCAACTACTTGAAGGGTAGAGTATGGAGCTGGACTGTTCTCAGTGATGATAGATGACAGAACAAGGAGCAATGGTCCCAAGTTGCAGCAAGGGAAGTTTAGGTTGGATATTAGGAAAGCGCTCTCATGAGGAGGGTAGTAAAGCACTGGGAAAGGTTACCTGGAGGGGTGGTAGGGTCTCCATCCTTGGAGGTTTTTAAGACCCAGCTACACAAAGCCTTGGCTGGGATGATCTAGTTGGGGATGGTCCTGCTTTGAGCAGGGGGTTGGACTAGATTGAGGTCCCTTCCAACCCTCATTTTCTATGATACTTCCCTTCCAGGGCAGGGATTGAACCCAGGTGTCCAGGCTCTCAGTCTTCCCTTCTCTGCTCCCCACTCAGCCCCCAATCCTCTCCCAGTACTAGGCAGAGAACCCAAGGTGTCCATGCTCCCTTGGGCCTTCCCTGCACCCAGGTCTCCTGACTTTTGGTCAAGTGCCTTACCCGCTCTGTGGGAGCTGCCCTTGATAGTGGCTGCCTGGGGGGCAGGGAACAAGGGAATGACTCCCGGCATGGGGCTAGGGGGTGACACTAGCTGGCCCTGGGGGGAGGAGTTGGGGTGGGGGGGTGCTGAGGCAGCATCGGCCCTGGTTCTAGACTGGGAGGGATTTCACAGGGCAGGACCTGCCTGCTCAGGAGCACCCCAGTTAACTGTCCTGGAGTGATGCCGTATTGGAGGAGGCAGGGCTCTGGCCTGAAAGAGGTGGGGCTGTGGCTTGGGGGCAGGGCTTCAGATTAGCATCACAGCAGACTCCAGCCCACCTGCCCCCCCCCACCC